AAATTAGGCCATATTTTATTTAGTAGCCATAACTCGTCTGGATTTCCAGATTCTGTTTCTCCATATACAGTTGGAATTCCGGGGTATTTTCTCCATCATACAGTGCTGGAAATCCAACCACATCAACAGGGGGGGTGGGGGGTGGGGTGGGGTGCAGATATAAACTGGAATGGCCCATTTTGAGATCTGATTTTTACTATATAAACCACCATTGCCATCAAATTGCCATTTTAATGAATATGGAACCCATTTTATGTGTAAAAATAGCTAGTGTTCATACTTTTTTATCTGGGGTTTGTAAACCATAACATCAAATCAGATTATAAATGTCATTATAAAAGTCTGGAGATCTGTTTCCATGGTAGCCAACTACTTAATCTGTATATACTTATAATATACTATATATTAAGAATTATTAATTAATTTGTGAATGGATTATGACAAGAGTTTCTAAATATGAAAACAGACGTGTTTGAAGACTGGAATAGACATCATTATAGGGACAATTGTAAAACAGCAACATGCAAAAGGACTTTTGTGTGCTAGGTGATCATTATATTATAGTTAGTATTTTTCAGATACTTAAATTAAGTGCGTGAAATTAAATCAAATAAAACATCATAAATTTGAGCATCATGCAGGATTTCCTAAAAAGTCAGAATAACTTGGCAGTTTTTTGAAGCACATGTTAAATTTGAAAAGATTTATTTAGGTTGTATACTATTATTGGCAAGATGTTTATATATCCAATTTTTTTTTTAAATTTCTTTCTCTAGGCACCAGATTCCGCCCATTATCGCTTGAGCTTCCAAAGCCATTGTTTCCAGTAGCCGGATACCCTATGGTATACCATCACATAGAAGCCTGCAGTAGGGTAGGTAGTTTTGGGCTGGTTTGGAGGTACCAATATTTTTTTAATTTTTATTTGATCAGTGGGCAAAGTTGGTCCCATCAACTTGTACTGCAAGTGTTTATGATCATCCTATGGAAGATTTCTTGGTTCATAAAATTTGCTCAGAACAGGAGCACCACATTGGACTGAGACTTCTTCGTAGGACTACTATTGTCTGGCTTTATTTATTGTACTTCTTTTAAGAAAGCAGATGGTTATTAGAGAATGAAAACAACAAGTGAATACACAAAATTATTTATTTGTGGTAACAATATCAGTTTAGTTTTCAGTATTCAAATACCAAGAAAGAAGTAGCCATTTTGGATACATGTTTGGGATAGAATCAGGGTTATAGTCAGAAAATTTAAAGTGCCTGTCTAAAATCTTATAGTCTATTTTTTGTTGATTATTTATGGTTATTTTGTAATTTACAGGAAATTTTCAATGAAAATTGGACAGATTTGTAAAGTTTTTGCCTGTCAAATGAAATTTTGTATCTTTGTGGCTGATGACAGATTGATAAGTGGCTAGCTAAAAGCCTTGGTGAAATGCTGGAAAAGTGAAGAATACTACCGGGTATTTGATATTTTTTTCACTACATGTTGATCAATGTAACTTAAAAATCTGACTTTTTATTCAGGTTCCAGACTTAAAGGAGATTTTACTGATAGGATTTTATCAACCCAGCGAATCATTAACAAGATTCATACAAGAAACATCTCAACAATTCAAGTTACCAATCAGGTAATGTTAGAATGGATAGAATGAATGTACCAGGTAGTACACTTCCCTGAAATTTCAAAGTTGTATTAATGGCAAAATTTATTGGAAGTCCTTTTAATTTTGAGTAACTTGACTAAAAATCAAATCTGAAAGTTACAGCTTTCGTGAGTTTTACTAACTCAAACCTGATATATTCGACTTTTATCAACTATTAAAGTTATTATTGTCTGCACTACAATAAATCCCATCATGCATTGCTGATTTGAATTTTGCACACTAACCATAACTAAACTGTTAGAAGTTTCTTCAGAAGCAGTTACAATATGACTAAACTAGCCCTCCTTATAATATCGAAAGGAAAGAAGCTAATTGCTTTACAAGAAACAATTCATTGACGAGTGTCGTGTGTGAATCTCAAACCAACTGAAAAACATTTACCCGGTACATCAAATTTCCATTGTGTGATATCATCCAACTTTGATCATTGACAGAAAATCCTGCGTGCAATTTGGTGATTTGATGGCACCCTAAGATGCTGAAAACTCAGTGATTTGATGACACCCTAAGATGCTGAAAACTTTATCGCAAATGAATCCACTGATATGCTCAGTAATTTTTAGCTACTAACAAGAAACTTCTGATGCGAAAATATTGGAAATCCTGACACTATTGCATTTATTATACTACAAATATTGCTTACAGTAAACTACTTCAAATGCTTCAGTATTGTTTTCACATTAAAAATTCTTTCTCTCAAATGGACATCAGTCTAAGCTTCAAGGTTAGAGTTGTTGGTTTGATCAGCCATTCTCTAGGAATGGATGATCTTCAATACACACTACTGAAGACAGCTAGCTACATTCGTAGGCATGTTTTCTGTGCACAATTCTACATTGCCTTAAAATGCTACAGTTGAACACATTATAATTTTTGCGGATTTACATGTGTTCTATTATGTGGCATAGAACCCATGTCAAACTTGACTCAATTTGACGACTGAAATTCCAGATATATGAACAGAGTGAGTTTGTAATTATCCCGGACTGATCTATGATCTTTCATCTTTGTATTGTTTCAAGACAACTTTTCTAAAACCACTGGTGTTGTGATTCCATTTTCAGATATCTACAGGAGTACACATCTCTGGGCACTGCAGGGGGTCTTTATCACTTCCGAGATCAGATACTGAGTGGTAGTCCCGACAGTTTTTTTGTCTTCAATGCTGATGTGTATTGTGATTTCCCATTAAATGAGATGCTAGAGTTCCACCAATCACTCTCCAGTAACACAAGGTTTACCATGTTAGCTACACAGGTAAGTTTGTAACATGTAATCTGATTGGTTGAGAATTCCACCAATCACTGCCCAGTAACATAAACATTGTTTACCATATACTAGCTCCAGTAAATATGTAACATGTGATCTGATTCGCTGAGGATATCAGTGTTCAATTGCTTTGCATGGTTACTCCCAATACACTGCATCGTTATGTAAATCTCGTATTGCTAACGTGATCCGATTCTATTCTAGGCTACTCGGCAACAATCAGTGAATTTTGGATGTTTGGTTGAAGATAAAAAAACACATGAGGTAAATATTTTAATTTATTTATTGCAATGTTACCCAATCATAAAACAATCACAATATTCAAATTTTATTGAAAAATTAATACAAAATGAATTCTCACTGCAAATAATAGTAAAATACGATAAGTTTGACATGAGTTTTTATTTTTTCAGGTTCGTCACTATGTAGAGAAACCACAGACGTTTGTGAGTACAACGATCAACTGTGGTACTTATCTACTTTCTAACGATGTCTTCAAGTACATCGCTGAAGTCTTCCAAAAACAACAAGATGAGCTTTTTAAGTAAGTACAGTATGAATTACCTCTTTGATCGGTTTGCTACGTCTGAAAGATATGGTGGATTAAATATCTACAATGAGTTAGAAAACAACAACGCAATCAGAGATGTCACATCCCTCGGTATTGTTTCACAAGGAGTTAGTAGAGGAGACTGTTTTGATTGTGGGGCTGAGGTATACCAGCAGCTGTAACTGGATATTGCATAATGTAATGGCCTGACCAATAGCATTGCAGAATGGAATGGCCTGACTAATAGCATTGCAGAATGGAATGGCCCGACCAATAGCATTACAGAATTGAATGTTCTGACCAATGGCATTGCAGAATGGAATGTTCTGACCAATGGCATTGCAGGAAAAAATGAAAAGTGTCAATATCGTACAAAACGTTAAAAATGTATAGATTACATTAGAAAGAGCATCCTACGACTTGTAGTGACCAGTTCTTTCACAGATTCATTAATCTTAATCACCAGTAGTGTATGTTTGTTATTCAC